TCGTAAAAAGCCAGGAAAATGAAAATAATGACTCGCCATACATACTAAATACAATTACAATCATACCGATGCGATATACTTGGCCCGATAAAAACTTTATAATCATCGTCAAACACTTCTATATAAACTCTACGAAATCCGTTACAATATACACGCAATTCATAAAAAAACATATCACGAAGACCCCAAGTGTCCTCGTCCGGTCCATACTCCCCAAGGTAGTACGAATTACGTGTCAGCCGGTCACATTACCTTAGGGCCCGGATAACAGTCCAATCCTGAAACTCTATCCTACGATAGTTCCTCGTTCCAGGCTTCGGCGCAACGGGCATGGGCAAACCTTCCCTCCTGGCACGCCTGACAGCACGAGTATACTTCCAATCTTTAAACTAAAGGAAAGAAAAACCAAAATTATATATACACTATAGACACCTACATACAGCACTTACATATAAACATACATACTATAAATAAGCAAAATACTTACGCAAACCATCGAACGACGTTTTCTCGAGAAACCATACATGTTAAATTATATTTTCTCGTCACAAGCGCAGAGAACACTTTGTAAACTATTGAAGCGACGCAGCCTTTATATACCAAATAATTTGTACACCTTGCAGAAAAATGATCCCACCGACGCAATCAAATTCCAACACTTCCGAAACTCGGAAATGCACATAATGAAATAATCTTTTCCACCGAAAACCAACCATTGCAATCAATACATATTAATTGCAATATCTTATGCCCCGAGGTGTTACGTCTCAAGACGCATCTTTACTCATTCACATTCTTTAAAAAGTGCAATCCCGAATTTCGTAAAATCAAAACTATGTACACATCCACCAGAAAACCACACGGCAGCAAAATACAAAGACCATACTCAGCATTTCACAACACACATTGAACTCAAAAGGAAAAATTACCCAACTACACAGAAACATCAGCGATTAATTGAGCACAAATCTATGTATATAAGACGAACCACCTGTAAAGAGTTAGTCATCTTTTATTGTTACTCCGTACACGTCAGTTCGACAATTGACGAATAAACTCTACGTATCGACGCTACAGTCGCGTGCAAGCCTGTTCGACAATTTGGCTAACTATTCAATTATTACCTGTCAAACTATATTATTTGATCTCAATAAATACGCGATCCATTAAATGTGAGAACGTGCAACTTCATTATTGAACCTATCCAAATACCGAGATCTACGATACTGAAAGTACTCTAGAAACTGTAAGTACAACAAAATAATAAAATACATTCATTCTTATTCATATATCGTATATTCCTCATTACTTGTGAGCCTCAATCAGCCAATAGTACTATATTGGTACGTTTCGCACATTCGCTATTCGTAGTTTATGCACGAGACGTAACAACTAAAAGTAGTAAAAAATAATAAAAGTAGCAAGAGTAGTGAAGACGCGAATGGCACTTGTTTTACAGAAGGGCGGTCTGAAAAGAGGAGAGGTATAAAGGTGGATCGACGTGCGTTTGGCCGGAAAATAACCGTTCAATTAGCTATTTCATGAACCATAGGTCGATAGCGGGGTAAGTCTGGGACGATGGGTAATTTTGGGAGAATGCGACTGAATTGACTCTGTTTGGTATGCGAGTGTAATCGGACAGTGCCGGCACTGGCATTAACTTTTCGCGAGTCGCCCTCTCAATCCATGCTCCAGCCTCGTAGTTTAAGAATAGATCACGGGTCCAAACCTTGAAGTCAGGTATCCGATCGATGGAGAACAGGGTCACGCTCAGTGAGGTTAGTATTCTCTGAGCAAGGATAGCAAAGGAATGGTTCTATGCCTCAAATCGAGGGGCCTTGTATTCAAACGCCGACGGCGGGTGGCGACCCGAGCGCCGGATAATGACGCCATCGAGCAGGACAGACAGGTTTCTAGCCAGGTAGTGCGGCGATTTTCTGGACACAACAGAGTAGGCCAGAACGGCAAGGGCTCTATACCTATTTGGGGTAAGGGATAGCCAGCCCAGGGCTAGTCTATGGTGCGTAATGTGGCTGTTTAAGGATAGAGAGGGTATAAAAGGGATCCATCCTATTACGAAGCGTACGCAGGCGTTTTGTGCAACTTGAAGTTTAGACGAGCGCTCTCCATCAAGCTGAATACAAACCACTAAGAGGTAATCGAAATGTGGGAAAACGAGTTGCTCGACGAGAACTTTTCTGAGGGTAGTCGAGAGAGATTTCCTATGGAAACGGAGTGAAGCCAGACAGCTGTATACCGTCCTCGTCACGCTTCTCACATGTTCGGACCAGTTGAACGTGGGAGTAAGTGTCACACCCAGATTACGAGCACTAGTAACATAGTCGAGTGGAACCTCATTGATGGTGATCTTCACGATGTCATTCAAGTTGATAGCCCTAACGTACTGTTCGCTGCCCAGTATCATGACCTTGGTCTTGGTGAGGTTAAGGGAGATACCGTTTCCTAGTGCCCAATTCGCTATAGCCTGTACATCAAGCTGCACCCTCCCCAAAGCCTCCGCAAGGTTGCCGGGATGACAGTGAAGATAGACCTGCGTGTTGTCGGCGTAAAGCATGTAGTTCATGAAGGAGAGAACAGAGGGCAGGTCCGAGATAAAGATTGCAAATAGCAATGGTCCCAGAATACTACCCTGTGGTACTCCGGTAGCAACCCTGAGCCAATCCGACACCCTGCCATCCTCCCCCATAACGGCCTGAAACCTGTCGGTCAGATAGCTGAAGAACCATCCCAAGACAGTGTCAGACAGGCATAGGTCCCTGAGCTTGACCATCAGACGACCATGGGGGATAACGTCGAAAGCCCTGGAGAAATCCAGAAGGACGAGGATTGTAATTTTACGCTCTTCAATAGCCCTGCGGACGTCATCCAGGACACCCAGGAGAGCAGTCTGGGTGCTGTGAAACCGCACGAAATCCGCCTGCCGTGGATCACGCAGTTTGCGGCGGTCCAGGTAAGACTAGAGTTGTAAATGAACGAGCCTCTCAAGCACCTTTGATACCTCAGATAACCTTGCGAAGGTACTTTGGCAAGAGGGGTGATGAGAGACTGTTTCCAGGAGGTCGGGAAGACGCCGCACAGTAATGATTTGTTGACAAGATGGGTGAGAGATGAGAGACAAGAAGAGGAGACGAGTTTAAGCATCTTAACAGACAAACCATCAGGACCGAATGTTCTGGATGTGGACGAGTTTAGTGCATCCAAGACCTCCCGGCAAGTGACCTCACGAAAATTGAATGGGGAGTGGACGTGAGGAGCGTTTGGGGGACTCGCTAAAAGGGCGTCCAAAAAGTCACGTGTTAATGGAGGGGACGAGTTGACTATGTTGGCAAAGTGGGTGTTTAGCACGGCTGGGGAAAAAAATTGAAACGGGGATGGAAGAGCGCGCCTTGTGACTCCCAAGTTTCGTAACTCTCTCCATCTAGCCTTGCTGGTGGCTGCGGAAGACAGTCTGCCTGAAATGCACGAATTTTTTGCAGAGTCGAGGGCATTTGAGACATCGTTGTCAAGTCTTCGATACCCAGCGACGTCACTGCCCGAGCGGGAGGAGGATGCCAGTTTATAGGCAGCGTCACGCTTTTTCATAAGGGCAAGAATGCTCGGAGTCACCCAGGGTTTACGCCTAGAAGACAACCTGATGCACCTGAGAGGGGCTACCTCGTCAAAGGATTTTATGAGGACTTCAGTGAAAGAGTGCACCAAGTTGTCAAGGGAATGCGCGTCGGCTTCGATCGACGGGTCAAAAGAGTGCTGCAGTCGTGTTGAAGATTCGTCGACCAGACACGAGAGAAGGCCGCTGAGGGTCCCATTTAAGGCTGCTTCGTCCACCCGATTTAAACCGTGGGACTCTGGTGATATGCTTGTTAGAAGTGAAGCGATAGGTGAGCGAGATAAAATCATGGCCAGCAATAAAAGGAATATCAGACTTTCCAAATGCCTGGATAGCATTTGGGTCTTTCACTATGAAGAGGTCAAGAATAGTATGGGAAGGGGGATTTGTATCAAGACAGTGATGTGTGGGAGCAGTGGATACGAAGTGGAGGTTGTGCAGGTCGACGAGAGATCTCAAAGCTCGAGCGTCTGACAGGGAGCTAGAACCTAGGTCCGCGTTAAAGTCACCGGTGATGATGACATTTCCGTACAGAGGGAGGTAAGTGGCCAAGTAGTTGGAAAAATGTGTGGGAGAGCAAGCAGAGGGACTCTGTAAACCACCGCCATCAAAAGCTTGGTGTTGTCGGACTTTATTTCACCTAGGATGAATTTAGGCGTTGTATGCTTAAAACGTAAACTATTTATTTAGTATCTTGAAAATATTTCTCGCATTTTGCTTCGACATTGATTTTGGCCGCGTGAATTCCGACTTCCTCAATCTCCCAAAACCTTTGCAACTGATGGCTCAATCCTATTACATTACAAGAAGCCGTAGACCTGAGCTCGTCGTTAATCGCACCTCCCGCGATGACCCATCCTAACAATGTTTTCTGTAAAATCAAATCGTTCCCTCCGCCCGACAGATTGATTTGTCCCACGGAAAAAAGGGATAACGTAGCGCCCGAGCCTATTAACATATCTACACCGCGTGGTATATGAAATTTAGGGTCTGCGAGTTTGATGTTTGCTGGAATATTCAGCCCTTCTCGAGCAAACGGTTCGTCCGGTATGAAATCTGCGATTTTTGGAATTACGAGAAAATTTAATGACTTTGAAAAATCGTTGTAACGCGAATGGATTTGAATGTCCATGCTGTTTTTTGCGATTGTACTTAAAGAATTAATCGCGCCTACAAAGACATTGCAAGATTTCATAGAAAGGCCCAAGTTGTGAGCAAACTTATCAGTGACAAAATGTGCGGTTGCACAAGTATCTAATAACACACGTGCTTCAATGGCATTCCCCTTTGCGTTTTTACAATGAATCAATGCGCTCATCATAAGCTGAGATCTCGATGACCGCGAAAGTGTTTGAAATATATTGACGTCTAGTCATGCCTGCGAAGTGGTAGGCGTAGGCTGCTCGTTACGGTGCAGAGATGTGTGATGGGTTTGATTGCATTTTTTGCATTTGCCTGAATTACATGTGCCTTCATGTTTACGCAGGCAGTTGCGACAAAGCCTTTTCTCTTCTATAAATGCCCATCGATCACCGATGCTATCCTTGTTGTATTCAGGGCAGCGGTATAAATAATGTGAATCTCCACATCGTAAACAGGGCTTCGTTGTGGCAGCAGTCATCAAAAGGCGCGCACTGTCCTTCTTGAGCCTTTTTGTATTGCCCGTGTCTGATTCTCCTGTGCGCTTCTGTTCTATTTCCCTTTTAATACGCGTAGTTTCGGTTTCCATTGTTGAAAGACGATAAATAGTTAAATCGATAAACTTGAAGAATTCGTCCAGAGTCGGAAACTCGTCGAGCTGAAGAGATTCTTCCCATTTTGCACGTATATCTATCGGTAGGGCGCGCTCTAAGATTCGAACCACGATTTTTTCATCCGGTTTGAAATTTATGGATTTCAAAACGGATAAACGCTGACGTGTGTTGTCCACGAGCCGCGACAAACTAGTTGCGGTTGCGATGCCTATGGTCGGTGTATCAAGAAGAGCATCTACATGCCTTGCGATAAGAATACGCTTGCGATCATAAGCGTCTATGAGCGACTTCCACGCCTTTTTATAATTCTCAGCCGTAGCGCTAAAAATAGCTATCTTGCTCGCGGCTTCCTTTTGTAATGCATCACGTAAGTATAAAAACTTAACTAAATCGTCAATATCCGTGCGCGTAGCTACCATCGATTCGAATGAATTTTTGAAAGTAATCTATTGATCACAGTTTCCATCGAATTTCGGAATATCAGCCACTGGCAACTTTAGTTGACGCTGTTTTTCAAAAAAAGTGGAAGATGCCGTAGGTATATCTCGTCCCGTTGAAGCGTCGGGTACTGACCCGTTAGGATTGGGTATCGATGCAACTCGAGACGCGAGCGCGTAATAATCGTTTGATAAAGCTGTCATACGTTCTAGTGCTTTGTTTGTGGGATCTTCCATTTCTACCACGTCGTGTAACTCTTCATGCGCATGAAAAAGATCGGTCACTCTCTGCAAACGGAGGACAGCGTTTGTACGATCTACGGTACCCTGCTCTATCGCGTCAGAAAGAGCCTTGATTTGCCGATTCAAAGCATTTCGTTTTTGATTGTAAACCTTGATATGTGAAGCCATGTTTAATGCAAATTCACTTGCAAGATTCTACAGAGAACTGGACTGATTAGTAGTTGTAATGCGCACGAGAAAATAAGAACGAATATTAACAAAGAAAAAACTTGCCGCCTTTATGTGTATTTATGACCACGTGTTTCAATACCGACGACAAAAAAAATACGTGCTTTGTGAAATGCTGAGTCGAATATGTCTACTCGAGCTACCAATGCTTATCAATGCTTTCTCTAGTCCCAACACTAACAAATCTGAAATTTCTCGAACTACAGAAACAAAGGAAACTACGATGTAAATCGAAATAAAAAACTCGCGCCTTTTCTTTACGCGATAAATTTTGATATAATTTTTTACACTTATAGAGTTAATATATCGTTACTTATCTTTGTAGTTTGGTCGATCCACTTAGTCGTATTATGCTGATCTTCGTACCTCACAGGAGACACCAATTTCTGTATGCTTAAAACGTAAAGCTCTAGCCGTTGTTCCTTTACTTCAACGCGAAGAAAAAAAACTCTTTACTTCTCTCCCTCTTTTGAAATTGATATCTCATTCGTATTTTAGACTTGATAAGAAATTGTGATATGGGAAAGGTGTCAAATTAAAAGAAACACTTAGGAGCCAAATGATATATAATTTTGGCTCCAAGGAAGAAAGCCTGTTGCCAGGCAAAACTCCCACGATCGGAAACTAAATTAAATTTACAAATAATAATGTGTGATATTGTGGTGTATGTGTGTGTGTGTAAGTCGTTGGTTGTTCGTCTAGTCGAGTAGGCTGCGAAGCAGCGGTTGATCAATTGATTGTGAATTGTATAAGCTGCGAAGCAGCGGTTGAGCGATTGATTTTTTTGTTTGAATGGACTGCGAAGCAGCGGTTGAATGCGTAAATTTTATGAGTGCACGTCACGTCAGAAATCGAGAATAGAAATAATTGTAATGTGGGGAATGATGATAGGGAAATAGAATTGAAAAAAGATTAAGATTTGTGAGATGAAAAGATGTGTGTCGCGACCGCGCACACGGAGGACTCGCGAACAGAAACTCTTTGTGCGATAATATTGAGCAACTACTGTTTGAAAATTTTAATTTTCTCGTGAGCGATTAGTACGTCCGGAAACGTTCAATGCTGAATCTGAACTAAACCTTTTTCTTCTTCGACACGCGACCTCTTGTGAGAAAATCAGAGAAAACAGAGAGCGAGAAATAGAGAGAGAGAGAGAGAGATAGAGTCATAGGAGAGTTCAAAGATTAGATAAGAGTTTGTTTTGAAATGACGTGGCGCGCTAGCTCATAGTGCTGATTGGCATGATAGTGTTATTAAGGAATAACGATACGTTTGAAAATGAATTGAAATTTAGTCGGTTTCGACTAAACAGGCGTGTTATCAAAAACTGGATCTGAAGTAGCTAGGAAGCTGAATTTAAGGTGAGATCTGACGTACAGACCAACACCGCCACCCTGCTTTCCAATTCGGTCAAGCCTGAAAAAATTGAAATCGGAGAGAGAGAGGTGGGAGTCAGAGATATCAGGTGAAAGGAAAGTTTCAGTAATGGCTATGACATCAAAATGTGTAGAAAGGGCTTGTGCTTCGAGAAGAGCAAAGTGACAGGGGGAATTTAGTCTGTTAATATTGATGTGGCCGACAACGAAGGAAGCAGAGGGCGGGGTATGGTCCCGGATTAGTTGGCATCATGGACCAGAAACTGGAGGAGATGAAGTTGGGATGGCTTGAGATAGCTGGGCCGGAAAGACAGACACTGTCGGGCTGAAACAACCGTCTGTTTTGCTAAGTTGCGGAGCCGGATTTTTTGGGATGGAGGCAGTAGGTCGTGATTTGACAACCTGGGGCGCGAAGTTAAGGTTGAGTGGAGCATGTCTGCGAGTGCCGATCGGAGTGGCAGCCACTGACATGGCACCAGAGCGCGGAGCGGCCTGGGCAGGAGGCTGACCAGGAGGCAAAGGCGCGCAGGTGTCAAGGTCAACCTCCAACGTGATTGGGATCGGGGTGGAACGTGTGTTCTCCCGCATATGGACGACCATGCCCGAGACGAAAGGGCGCGCGAAACCCAGCTCACGACTGCGCGCGAGCGCCCTTACAAAGAGATTGTGGATCGACAGCGGTAACAGCTGGCGGATGAAGACGGGATTTCCGTGACCGCACTTAAAAATGTCCCTCGCCGTCTTCCCAGCGAGCTTGCCCAAGCGCTCCAGTATGACATCACGCACCACCGTTGAGTCGATATGCACGACGAAAGTGGACGTAGTATCGGTCGGATTTGGACGAGAGCGAGTGGCAGTTCATCTTCTGGTGGCCATTATGCGACCACCAGCGTTTGGGCAGCCAATAGCCTCAAAAAGCATCCCGACGGCATCCTCCAGCGAACCCTGAAACCTCTGCGGTAGGCCCATAATAAGGAGCTCGGAACGATCCTTGAGACCCACCACGGACTTGAGGCTCTTCACCTCGTCGGCAACACGATTGACTTTAGTTAGAATGGAGGTCTGGGTGGCTCTGATCTCGTTCCGAAATTCAGTGAATTCATTATTCACGAAGCCAGAAAACCATGCTGGTGGTTTGTCGCCCGTGGTAGATGCCATACTATCCAGCAAGTAGGTTTGGTCCTCACTGGAGGGAGAAGTGGGAAGGACGGCCGATCGGTCAGCACCATAGAAGTCACTCTGGGATTCCACTCTCGACGTCTTCGATGGGAAAAGCTCGTAAGGAGATGCCTGTCTCTTACGGCCTGAGGTTTCGATAAAAGGCAAAGTACCAGCAGAAGCAGAGTCAAATTGGGTGGAAGAAGGGGATTCCAAAAAAACGCCACCGGACTAACGAGAGTTGGCTAAAACCGCGGACTGAAAAGAGCAGGCACGACAAGTAAAGGTCGCAAGATCAGGATTTGAGGTTAAATGGAAACAGTAACGATGGAAAGATCTGTCACAGGACTCGCACTGCAAGATATTAGCACTCAGATCACTCAGCGCTTCACCACACTCGGCGCATGAAGACAAGACCATTTGATAAAAGTGAAAGGTTTGAAAATTTAAAACTAGTTAAAACAAAAAATAAAAATTCATAGATTGTGTCAAAAAGTTTCCCATATCTCCTCTCCGGATCTCAAAACTACGTAAGAAACTGTAACAAGTGAGATAGTTTAAAGGACCGATCGACACGAGAAATTGAGCAGTTTGAATTTCGCGCGAAAATTTGAGTCACTGACCAGTCATAAACGGTAGTTGTGAAAAGTCTGGATTTAAAAGATTTGAAAATTGGCGCCTCAGTGGCACCAACTCAGTTAGTTAAGGATCAAAATTGGCGGGAGACACGGGAGTAAAATGATGCCATTTACAAGAGACGGTAAGGGAATTCGCAAATTAACCTAGAGATGATTAAAACGCAAAAATAAATGAGTAACTTAGACGCAAGAATGAAATGAGAGAAAATGATTGATGACGCGAACGCAGAAAAATTACATTACAAATTACGTGAAAAAGTAAGAAAGTAAACGCGATTTAACACAGTCGATAGAATAAAATTAAAATTAAGATTAAAAATAAAATTGTCTAGCGTGTAGATAGCGCTAGATGAAAATACAACAGTATTAAACTAAATAAAACAAAACAAGATGTTGTAAAATAAATATAAATTAAAATAAACTTAAAATTAAAATAGCCATCGAGATGACTGAGCGCAAGAACAAATTAAGTGAAGAGTAGTGATGCGGCGAAGAAATAGCACCGGCTATGAGGAGTCTCTCCGAGAACATTCAAATATGCGGATAACGGTAAAAATAGTTGACACTGGTACTTAGCAGCAAAAATGTTGGAAGTGTTGCATTCGGTCAGATGTGTAGTGTGTAGTGTGTAGAGTGTAGCGGTCCTGGAGTGGAGGCTGTGTTGTTGTTTGTGTTGTTTGCAGAAGTGTATAGATCAAAACTCGTCAAAATTGGAGAATTGATGAAGGTTATGTTGTAACCAGGCAGGCGGTTTATTCATCCACTGGCCAAAAAATTGACTGAGAGCCAAGAATTTTTAGCAGGAAGCGCAGTCACCAGCTGGACGAACTCGCATGCAAAAATATGCCGCTCGAGGAAGTGGCAAAATTGAGAAAATGATTATTAAGGAAGAGAGCCTCAAAGACCAGTATGTCGTTACTCACCGAGAGAGGGAGAGAGAGAGAGAGTTACATATGCTGTTATGATTAGGTATTAAGTAAAGACATATATTTAAAATTAAATGCTTTTATTCATAAAATTTAACGTGATGTACTGTATGTTACATATTTTAATTTATTTAGCTTATATTTAATTTTATTAATTCCAATTTATTTAGAGAGTCAACTATATAGTTTAATATAAAACTAATTTTTTCACATCACTGATTGGATTCGCTGATTGGATCTGCCAGTGGGCCATCCGACAGAGTGCCTTCCCCATCCACCCATCCACCTACTCCACCCACCCACACCCTCCCGCCCACCCAAACCCACCTACAGAGGTTATTAAGGTAGGATGCTGTAGAAGTTGGTAGGATGTTTGGTAAGCTATATGATGGTCTCTCTCACTCTTCTTCGAT